CTCCTACAGGATTCGGGTTGGGGACCTCAATCATAGGAAAAGTGTCAGTCAAATCAGGTGTAGTGACCGTGGTCTCAGTCACAACGTGTCCAACTCCACCATGTAAAGTTTTGTCCCACTGAAACACCTTCCCTCAGAACGGTGGATTTGGGTTGTACGAGAGACTCCCTGTCCAGCGTTCTCCTCACCTTTGATTCTAAACCATGGTTTGATTGTCTCATTTGCTCCCCTGTTTTTGTATGTATTTTAGAAAAATACCTATCAGAAACTATATTAGCAACAGTTTTAGAAGGCAGCATTTAAATGTGGCCACATGTAGACTTCATTTTGTAAGCACAACAGTCTTCAGTAAATCAAAAGATAGTGAGGTTCTGAAGAGGTTCAGTTTAATTTAGTTGTTAAAAAACAGTGTTTCTTTGCTGGTCTGTATCACAGCCTTTCTACAGCAGACGTCAAATCTGACAAAAAATAATATTATAAAAAAAAGACAAGAAAAGAAAGCTGGTGCAGAAAAAAAAATTACCTGAGAGGTTGTTGAAAAGTACAGAGAGAAAAGAGGTGGAAAAAGAGAAGTAAATCTTTTTTCATGTAAAGGAGCTGTTTGACAGAAACAAATGGCTTTGTGCTCTTTTACCCTTTCCCTCTTAATCAGCATGTCTGAGAAAGTGCTGACATCAGATGTGTCAGTTTTTGACCAGCACAACATGTGCAATAATAGAAACTATCAGCACTTTACTCTGTTAAGAGAATTCGTTTGGTGCCTTAAGTTTATTCTATTACAAAAACATCACTGAACTGAACTGGGTTCAGAGAATTTTCTGAACCATTTCAGTTTTCACAATTTGGTTGTTTCAGCCTGATGCTACCACCATTAAAATTCTGTGTTTTTCTTTAATCTTTACTCAGTACACCACAATGATACATTCAAATGTAAATTTTATACAGTTTTTTAAGTGTTTTATAAAAGATGAAACTGAAATACAACTGTCCCATTAAAATCCTGACTTTTTGCAACAATTCAAATGTATCTCAGATGCCTCTTATTTCACTTGATGGCTGATACGTCTATATCTTGACTACAGTCCACCTGCACACCTTTCTATAAAAACATCTTCTAGCAGACAATAGATATATCAATGCAAAGCCCAAGTTGTAGGTCAAAGTAAATCCCTGCAGCTGTCAGAGACAGGATTGTTGCAAGGCATAAATCTAAGGAAGGGTACCAAAAATCTGCACTGAATCTTCTAAAAGCACAGCAGCCTCCACAATTCTCACGTGGGAAAATTTAGGCACAACACGGTCACCCAACCACACTGAGAAATCAAGGGAAAGGGCTTTCATGAGAGAGGTAACCAAAACCCCTCTGACTGAGCTTCAGTGATCCTCTGTGGAAACAGAATCCCAGAGGGACAATAACTGCATGCCTCCATCTATCAGAGCTTTATGGCACAGTGGCTGGATGAAAACATCTTACTGGCGCAAAGCACTTGAACAACTGCTTGGAGGACTCTCTGACTGTAAGGAAGATGATTCTATGGTCTGATGAAACTAAAGCCTGATTTATAGTCAATAAGAAAACCCATTCACACATCTCGCTTACACGGTGTGTGACGAAAAATGCGTAGTTTGCTACTGCTAGTGCTACCTCCTGAGACCCCATGGAGTGGATTGCCCCCAGTCAGAAGTAGTCTTCACAGCACTATGCACTGTGTGATTGATCAGAACTTCCCGTGCGTGTTTGTTAGAGGCTAGGGATGGGGCCTATCCAGTCCAATGACGATATCGGTTACAACGCCAACGTAATTAATGGAACGCAATTTTCCGATCCAATTTAGGGAGATTTCCAATCCATGAGTCATCTCTATGCTATAATGTCTGCTAAAATGACTCCAGAAGTGATTCCTGGCCAGATGACTGCAAACTGTGGAGTAGATTTCCTGAATGGAGACGAGTCTCAATGACAGGAAGTAATGAGGCACCCCTCTGCTCAGGAAATCTACTCCACAGTTTGATAACAGCTAGCAGGCAAGTAGCTCTGTGGCTAAACTAACTTTTCATCACAACATGAGGTGTGTTTAAATAGAGACTTCTAACTATAAACCAGTTTTTAAATTGCACTGATATAGGCCACAGCTTATGATAAAGAATATCCAACACGTTTTATTTCTGTAAATGATCGTCACTTTGAAACACGTTGCTGCTGCAGAGCGAGCAGACCGTAAGGCAACAGGAAACACGGGCCGACTCATGGGGAACACACTCCAATTCTCCATCAGTCTCACCCAAACAAACATCTCCTCCTTTCTGACTGAGGCATGAAGCTATCTGTCAAGTGCCAAAAATTCTGCAGCAGTAGGAAGAAAAAGTATGGAAGTTGAATGAAGTGTGGCAGGGATGGACAGCGGGAGTAATGAGATTTGACAAATTTGTGATATTTAGCCTATTTGGATTTTATAACCAAGGTGTATTTTTGTGTGTTTAGCATTCAGTGAATCTGTGTCAAAACAGTGGGTCGATTTTTGAACGTAAAACTACAGCTTCTGTTTGAGGAGGAGGGTGAAGGTTTGCTAAATTTGTTTACCTCGATCGTACAACATAGGAGCACGTTCCCACACGATCTGCGGTCTGCAGTGAACAGTGGTGCTCTAAGAGTTGGACAGCTGTATTGTCTTCTCTGGCAAAACCCAGACATACTGAATGGGATTAAGTTTTGGATTCTGTGATGGCCAATTTTACATGTGAAAATGTGCTTCAGAATACATTTTTTTCATTTTTATCTCTGATAAATCTTGGCATTGTCATCCTGCCATGTGCACATACCATTAGGGAAAAATAAATCTACTGAAAAAAAACACATGCTCATTCAATAAGTTAAATGATAATTTTTTCCCCCCAATTTTGTTTTGGACATTAATGAACAGACAGCTGACACACTGAAACAATGCCAGATAATATTAGTAGGCACAAAGCATGATGGGAGACGCTCTTCATTCACCATTCTTCTTTCCTTGATTGTGTATTTTTTTTAAAAACAATTTCATCACTATTATTTCAGACTAGTTTAAAATAGGGGTGTAAGAAAATACATATACACTGAAATATCGCGATATTTCATTTCCCGATACTGTATCGATATTCTAAAGCCCTGTATCGATTTTTTTTATTAAGGTTTAAAATGTCAACTTTCCTGCCAGCCGTTCATTTTTATGTTGTAGTTCAGCCTCTGACCACTAGTTGGCAGCAGTGAGCCAGCCATTTGGCTACTCTACCTCTTGAGGTAGAGGCCATTGTTAAGTGTTGGGTGACCATATTGTAAATTAATATTAAAAACTAAAAGCTGCAAAAAATATATTTTCAAACTATTTATTGTCAAATTTAGTCTAATTGAAAACATGGATGAAATAAGAAATATGAAACAAATAAAATAAAACACATACAAAGCAGAACACAGCTAAATGTATCAAAAGCATGTCTCTGTAATATTAGAATTTTCTGAGACAATGAATTTTGGTTTTTCATTTTTTCCCCTGTAAGTGGTTTTTATTTAATAGAATTTTTGGACTAAAAAAATCGCAATATATCGGGATATATCGTACCGTGACCCCTCTGTCATGATATGTATCGTATCGACAAATTATTGCCAATACACAGCCCTAGTTTAAAATAAGGTTAAGCAATTTCTCAAGTATTGATTTTAATAACATTTAATTATATTATAAGATATAATACTTTTTTCACCAAAGACGTATAGTATGTATGTGTGTGTGTGTGTGTGTGTGTGTGTGTGTGTGTATGTATGTATATATGTATGTATGTATATGGGCGGATGACAATTTTTTTAAACTAGCTTTTATTGGACCAATTTTGAGCTAGAGTTGACAAAATATGCTAACAACAATCAGGGAGCTATAGTTCCTTGTTAGAAATATGATATTCTTTATTTCCTGCTTCATAAAACCATGAGCTTATTTTACTTACTCAGAACTTTTGTGCTGAGAAATCGACTTAGCGAGCAGTTTTGTCATTGTGCTGTAAAAATAACTAAAGCAGTCAGTGCACATTACTTAAACAATGGAGGTTGTTTTTTTTTCTGAGTAGTGTCACTGAATGACAACACAGTATGAAAGACACTCAGTGCTGTATAAAGCTAAAGTAAACCATTACAGCTCTTAATGAAATGGATTTTAAGAGGCACTTGTAAGTTCTGCACATAAACACAAGTAAAATTTACTGTGAAAAGCCTTCCTGTGAGAATGTCACTAGTTGGGAGAAAGTATGGGTGAGCATGTTTTTGTACAATGTATGACGTGACGAATACAAGCTTACCTCATAGTGCTGAAAGCCAGGATGCCAAAGAGCATGGTGTGCAACAGATTATAGGCCACATCTGGACGAAAAGCCACCATATATCTCTCTGTAGCTTCTCTCTTCTCCTCTCCCACACCTACTTTAGTCCTGCAAAAGGAAATGAATAAGAGCGGTAGACAAAAATACAACAATGATGCATAAAACATTGCAGCCAGAAGCTTATAGGAAAGGCAGGGTAGGTGGGTGGAATTTATATGATTCCGATTATTTAGATTTCAGTAGCTCTTATTCAGATTTCATTAGCAGCTTGCACACAAGTGGACATGTAATGTTGCACACCCACGACCATTTTTTGTCTGCAGTAGTCCGCACACAGACAAAAAGAGAGGCGATTATGTTACTCCCACGTTTTGGCCTCCTGCACCGAATCAGACGGACACTGGCTTCTGCTTGAATATAAATCAAATCCTACTCTTCCTACTACGTGAGGTTGGGCATACTGGATTGAATTAATTCCTGAATTGGCAAATAGCCCTTTGTTCTATGAGGTTAGTATTCCAGCCGTCCAACAGCAGAGGGTGAGTTGAAATGCTAATGTGATTAGTTCAATACGGCCCCTCACCTTGCACCACAGGCAAATGAAGCTGCGAGAGGCAGCTGGAAGATTATTCTGTTTTTCAAAGCATGAAACAAAATTACGGAGTTGAGACAAAAGAGACGGCGCAAACCAGTTTGGGTTTCAGCTTCCTGGTAAACATCCTGACCTCATCTTCCAAACTAAAAATCCCATTATTTTTTGCAGGGCCTCTAACCCTTCAATTATCCACACTTGACTAACTCCTCTGACCATCCATCCATTATAACAGCTTTACCTTAACACAAAGAGACAAACATTCATGCACCAATGACCATGACCAATTTAGAATCAACAATTAACCTAACACAACTTTGGACGGTGGTAGGAAGCCTAAGTACCAAAATACAAGGTGACAGTGTTAACCCCTGTAGAACTGTACTTTTCCTTTAACAGCTTTCCAGAAGGATGCACAGTAACTTGTACATTAGCATAATTTTTAGGATAGGAGTTTTGATTTCTAGACAGTACAGTATTGCTATTGGTAAGCTTTGTTGCTTCAAAGCAAAAAATCCTGGGTTCGACTCCCAGCCAGAGGTCTTTCTGTGTGAAGCTTGCATTGTTCTCCCCATGTCCAGGTTTTCTCTGGATTCTTGGATTTTCTCCCACAGCTCTAATAGATGCATGCAAGTTTAACTGGTAGATCTAAAACAGGCCTAGGTGTATGTGTAAATGATTGTTTCTGTACCCAGAGTGTATCTAGCCCCTCCGAAATCACTGCTGGAGATGAACATAAACTTCTCAAGACGGTCAATAGGATCAAGTGGGTGTTATGGAAGTAAGCAAGCTTTGGTTATTGATACTATTATGTGCCTTTACAAGATAACCCAAACAAGTTTGCCCTTGAGTGAATTTTCTAAAATTAACTGTAGTAATTAATACTGTATATTAGCTACACCACATCATAAAAACACTAACAGAAACAGGACCACAGTTAAATGTATTAACTACTCACACATTTAAATTAACAAGCCCAGCGATGAGAACATGCAGAAAAGGGCTGTACTGTACTTTTGCATAGAACTTTACGATCATCACTACTTTTTAAATGACTGGATATGTTTATTTATTTATTTTTATTTTTTGACTGAACTTCAGAGGTGAGCGCAAACAGCAGGCCTGGGAGAAAGCTGCCAGTCATCTTTAAGGCTGATGAAAAGGTCTTTCCACCCCTCCCCACCCCCACCCTAATCAGCATACATTTTTTTATCAGACTGTCAGTGAAAACTGTTACAGTCAGTCCAATAATATGTGCTGCAACATCATCACTTTTATTTAGGATCAGTAAGCAAATGTTTGCTCACAACTGATGGCGAAAGGCAATGCTTTTTCCCACGTCTGTATTCTTTTGATTGTAGTGGTAATGTGTTAGTATTATTCTCTGGTCATCAATAGCTGCCTATTTTCATTGAATTAAATACATAATCTTCCTTTTTCTTGTTCAGGCTTTACGTACCAAAGGTTCTGCAGTACTGTCACTGTTAGCATGATGCTCAGCAGCAGTACAGATAGTGTGTAGGGGTATAACAGCAGCGTGCCACCCAGACGCTCCAGTGTGTCCAAGGGAAGCAGACCAAAAGCCTCCTCACACAGATACAGGCCAGCATCAAAATCCCTGGAGACATGACATGAAAGATGGAAAGGGAGGAGTTGGAAAAATAAAGAAAAAAGAATAGGTGTTAAACTATGTCTATATCCAGTTGTTCCAAAGAAATAAACATAGCATGCCTTTATTGTCATTACACGTGTGCATAACGAGATTAAATCAATTCCTATGCACCTAATAAAACAATATAGAAAACTTTTTAATGTCACAGATATTTTAATTACTTTAGAGTTTCTCAACAAATAGTTTAAACCACTGAAAAACATGCAGGGGGAAAGAAAATCAATGCGAGCAGTTGAAAAAAGAAGCAAAGCGTTTTGATCATACATCCATCCCCTTTTTCCCACAAATCTGTAGTCCGGCGACAGAGTTGCTCTCCTCAATAACACTCCTTTCGACACTTTCCACCCGGGAGATCCCACGGTGTTTCCCAGCCCTTTCCTTCATGACATTAAAAAGGTGTGTCCACTATCACAGCCTCACAGCATCCAGAACCTTCAGCATCTAAGGGCAAATCTCATCCACCCCTGGCGCTCTATCAGCAAGAAGCTTTTTACTACCTTACCCCATTCTGCTGAGCAATGGACTCACCTTCCTCAGACTCTGCCTCTTCAAAAGGTACACATGGTGACTAGATGGAGTTCATCATAACGTCCCTATTTAGTGATTGGGCTCTAAAGCCCATGCAGTACACGGAGGCGAGTGTAACTGTATCTACTGTAGTTGAAATTGCTCAAACTCACAAAGTTTGGTTTCTTTCGTGCCAGTGAGATGACATTCCACAGACCCAAGGCCAGTTAATAAAACTATTGAGGAATTCCTTCCACCCCACTTGTCTGGGCAGGTTTGTTAGAATCACTACGCTGGGTGATGTAACTGTTCAATGGTCTTCCTTAATGGACATATTGAAATAATTCACTCTGGATCATTCACTTGCATTCCTCTTACATCATGCTGACAGGTGGTGTGAGGTGTTAGCTGATATTCTGTGCTTGGCTTGTGTCAAATCTGTCACTGAATTTTGTATCTCATCATCTCCAATTTGGATTCATCTGTCCGAAAGACATTGTTCCAGATATCTTGTGGTTCGACAGGTGCAACTTTGCAAACTCCAGCTAGCAATCACACACACACACACACACACACACACACACCTACACTTCATTTTAACTGTAAAACATATACAAATGTTTTTATTTTTATTTATCTTAATATGTAAAATCTAGTAATTCCAAAACATTTTTATTGTTTACATTTACTATCATCTATGCATTATTTTTCCTGTGAGTGAACACTTTTCACAGTACACTGACAGCTTATGACAAGCAGCTGTGTGCATAAACACCTCGACTGAGAGCTCAGCAAACACAAATGTAAAGTGAGACCCGAGGGGGGAAAAAAACAAGGAAACACTCGGAGAAGAAACAAGTCAAAGCGAGTGAAAGCAACAGGGTGAGGCAGAGATGGAGCACACCGTAAGCTCTGCACTTTCCACAATCTCCTAAATAATTGAAGGAGCAGTTGTGCGGCACTGCACTGGGAGCTGTGTTATCTGCCGCCCCGGAGCAACCATCCTGTGGCTGAGTTRTTCAACACACCAGCACACACACACTGATCGATGGGAGGTCTAGTAGTGTTACACTGCTATCTATTATTCACACACATTAACACTGCAAGTGCTGAGGTGCTGAGTGAATAAATGTAGTCACTCTGAATCAAGTAGAAGTTTTGTACGTACGCACAGTATTTTTACACAAATAATGCTTGTGTGCATATACACAACAATCTGGTTAAATAGGAGTTACAACAAACAGAATCATTTCAATTTTCTTTTGTGCRTTTGTATGTTTGTACCTGGTTGGCCCCAAAGCAAACTTGGACTTGATGAATTTAAAAATATGTTCATCTGATCTGAGCTGAAGAGCTTTCTGTAAACACACACAGATTAAGTCATCAACAGGACTGAAATCAGTTTCAAATATACAAGCAAGTAAATAAACCAAGTTGACATCATATAGTAAAGGTTACATCATGATTTTTAAGTTTGAGATTTATGAGGAAGAGGCAGAGAAGAAGGAGAGAYGCAGTAAAAGTCTAGRGGCTGGAGAAACTAGTGGAAAAGAAAATGAAGAAGAAACTTATTAAGTTTATAGTTGACAAGAATAAAAAAGGGAAGGAGAAAGTAAGCAAARGAGAAATGAGGAGAGAAAGTATGACAAAAAATAATAACTGAAGCCAAAGCAGAGGAGCAGAAGCACCTTGGTCAGGTAGTTGATGATGAAGGTGAGCAGAAGAACCAAAGCACTGTGAAGAAGAACTTTGCCCAAACGAACCAGCAAGCCTCCCGTCTTCAGACCAGACTGCASCAACATAAAACAATAATCATTTTATACAATAATCAATCAAGATGTGATATTGTGTTAATGCAGTTTTACATTTCAGAATGGAAGGTCAACTATTAATGCACATTTTAAACAAGCTACAAAAAACACCAAGTGATGCCTGATGAACAGTAAAGACAGCAGCCATATGCACAAAAAGTTTCACATTACTTCACTTTTTCAGAATTTCTAATTTAACCTCCTTTATTTTGTTTTTTATAATTTACTCTATTTATTACAAATAAAATATTTGAACAGCCTTTGTGTTCTAATCCTTCTGATTAGAACTAGTTTGAACAGTTTGTATTTTAGTATAAACACCAGTCAGAAAACTAAGCGGACTGAGAAATTATCCTTCAAACTGTCTTTTTTTGTGTGTGAAATGCACATATTTTCTATTGATATTAATCACTTGTCTATTAGGATATATTAGGATATGTTGCTATTGTTTTATTGCTATTGGTCTGGATAAAGTTTGCTGTTCAGAACTGAGGAGAAATTGGTTGGATCTTTTGATTGTCGATGATGCTTTTAGAATTGATGAGGATTTAAGTGTTTTAGGGTACTTTACRTTACTAAATAAATGAAAAATCATTTTCTGTTTGAATTCTGTCAAGACACACCCTATCAATTGAGATAACACAAAGACAAGATGTGCACCATTTTAATCACACTCACTCACTCTAACTAGGCACAGGTGGAATTGTGTCAAGTAGCAGATAAATTGAAAGGACAGTGACAGAGGAGGCACCAGAGCTTTGTTATGACTGCCAGATTATTACTGTGAATAGACTGGTGAGTAAATGATTGTGCTGACACCACTCTCAGTGGAATTGGAAACTCTCTTCATAAATTGTGGAGAGAGATGTTTGGCTCTGGGTCAACCTTTGAGCATTTAGCACACAGTAATGTAAAATAAATTCACTTGGTTAGATATGTAAATACAAAAAAATAGATAACAATTAAATTTAAATACATAAATTAAGAAATGAATGAGACCTGAGAGCAAAATACACACACTTACGTGACAATGTCTGATGAAAAGAGCAGCTACGACAAAGCTCAGGACCAGTGATCCCAGGATCATGGAGTTACAGAACTGGAGGAGCCATACACTGAGCAGGCCACTCACCTGAACTAGGTACAGAGTTGTAACCTACAGAAATACAAATGAAGATATCTTTGATGATGGCAGGCCTATAAGCAAAGTCCCACTCAACATCAAATGATTAAGGGCTGAACATTAAAACCAAAAACTCAGAAATGTTGCCCTGACATCTTTTAAAGTGTCTGTGACATGCATATTCTTCAAACACAAAAAGTCAAAGAAAACATCTTTATATTTAAGAAAGTTGGAATAATACACACGATTTTACCCATTTTGTCCCATAACTGACATATTTTCATTTGAACTTGGCTCAGCCAAAGTGAAATAGGAAGTGACATCAAAGAGGAACTCTTTAACAAAGAAAACTCCCTGGTCTTTGTTTATTGAAACAATATTATTTGAACTCTGACTCTTCATTTCTCTCTGATAGAGACTCAAAATAATCTACAGAAACATCAGATTCTTCTCTACAGTCTGTGTTGTTGGCTGTTGTAGCAACACTGTTCACATTCAGGCATTCCCCTTTGACATCACTTCCTGTTACTTCACAGGCAAATGTCTCAACAACTGTTCATCTCAGCAGCATGACATTTCTTTTGCAATATTTTATCAATGTCCTCTTTCTAAAAATGCATTCATATGTATTACAAAAATTTGACGTCACAGGCACTTTAAGGTTCGGAMGATTTAGGTTTGGATTATGTCCAGGCTACTCTGAAATCACTGTTTGCATCATGTTGACCTAGATGAAAACCAAGAACAAACAAGAACACTTTGTAAATCCAAATTTGGTAYAGTTATGAATAATTCAGCAGTCTACAAAGTTGGCAACAACTGCAGTAAAAGTAAAATGTCAATTAGGGCAGAGATTTTGGACTGTTACAGGACCACTGAATTTTGGAAAATCCAACAAGGGCTTGTCGTTTTTCTCAGTTAGTTTACTCAAGTCTTTCAGTTGTTCAGACTGTTGAAGTTTATATTATGTTCGCACTTTGTGAGTATTTTTCCCTCTGTTTTTTCTACATGATGAGGTTTTTGTTCTTTTGGCTCTGGGGGTGCGGTGAGTAGACGCATTGTTTAACTCCACCCATCTGCGGGCTGATCAAAAGGCTTGAAATGTGGCCTAAGCATCTCTCCAATGATTCATGTACCCCTGTCTCAGGTCTGTCCTAATTATTTTGTTCAATTCTGTGTCAACCCTGACTCTGTTGAAAAAAAAAATCCAACAATGTCAAACTCTTGGTTTGTTGTTTTTTGGGCAATTAAAACTGAAGAAGAAGATCAATGAGCTCCAGCCTACTTTTATATTTTAGAAGTTTGTTGTCACTTATTTGTGAAGCACTTAAATTAGCTATTTAATGCTGAAAGATGCACAGAGATCCATATTTCCATTTCAGCTGCAGTAAAAGTTTAATGATCTCCAAAAGAATTATAAGTGGCTGAGTGAGCTCTGGAAACTCTCCATGACATAAGTTTTGAATACAGTCGCTGTGTGCAGGCACAATTCAAAATAAGCTGATTTAGGGATGAGGCTTCGGTCTTTACAATTAATTTCAAAAGCAACAGGGACAGACAAGCACTTCATTCATAATAGGATCCCAAAAAGACAAAAACAAAAATATGTGTGTGTACCATTTGATTGTGCAGTCTGCACACAGCACACAACCTTCTGGTGAAATACCAATAACTATTTTCTACAAGTAGCAGCAAACATTTGTTCTAAAATTTGTTTACCCCCRAAGATTCTTTATATTTGCCAGAATGAGTACTTCATCATAAGATACAAGTGCTTCCTGTACCACTGTTCACTGTCAGTTTATCTTAGTGACCTCAAGGTGTTCTGCAAGAACAAAAAAGTAATTATAAATAAATCTATAAATCACTGACAAGGCTGTACACTGACAAAGTGCATCATTCAATAAGCTTTTCACTGATTTTTTTTAAATCCTTTGCAGTTATTATCTTCAAATCCAGTATTGTCTACTTATTGTATGATACATACCTGTGTGGTTGTTAAGAGATCGACACAATCCATGATGTAAATGATAAGAGCCTGAACAAGTAGAATGAACTGGTTGAACTGCCACGTCAAACAGAAACAGAGCGTTGTCACGTACATCAGCCACACCATCACCTTCTGGGGATGAAAAACACACACATTAGATTYATAAACTGAAGACTGAAGGTCCTTCTGAGCTCCATGTGCTTTTAGAGATGGACATTTTAAAGAGTTTCATCAGGCTGTGCCTAATCAAGGCTAATTTATGTAGTAAGGAACGTCAGTCGCTTTGATGTAGTGCGCGGTCGTGTGTGGACTGTACCTGCTGTAAGGTGCTGAGCCGAGGCCTAAAGTAACAAGTGATCGCAGCGACTTGCAGTGCAAAGAAGGGCAAAGACCAGTTCTCTCTCAGGGAGATGGTGAACTCTACACGAGTGGTATCTACTCTAAAAAGGAAAACCAAAGAAGAAATATACACAGTATTTTTTAAGCATTGAAGCATCTGAATGTTTTACTCGAAATGAGGACAAATACTAAAGAAAAGATAAAAATAACTTCTTTAGCTTGTTTTAGGGCAAAATAAGTTGCACAAATACAACTCTAAACAAGGAGATGTTAAAGAATATTAAACATCTGCATAATAAAGCATCTTTTCTGGTTGTCACTTTTTGTTTGAAATTCAAACATTGCTTCAGAAAAGAAAGGATCCATTTAACAATTAAGCCTTTTTTTAGAGATGCAAGTACTTAAAACTTTAGACCTGGAACATAAAATCTGGTTCAGACTTTGACAATAAATTTGCCTAATTATGCAGCAGAGGGCACTCTACTATCAACTTGACCTAATGCATGCTTATTATTTTAAACAAAGACGTTTTTTGTTTGTTTTTAATTAACTAAAACTAAAGATATAGCAGTCTTGAGAAAACAAAATAAAGCTGAGACTGCTTCAACTTTGTTTAAAGCAGATCTTTTATTCTGCATCAACAAGGCTACAGACTTACCTTATGGTTTCCCAGATAGCAAAATGAAAGAATTAATGCTGAAATATGGTTAGGCATGATACTGAATCTATATTGAAATAAGACAAAAAGTGGTCGGCGACTTACTTGTTGTAATTTAACCATAACTGATTCTATATCAATGCTGATTCAACTTTGATTAGACGTTGACATTTCAATTAGTAGAATTTGACCATGATACAACATTGACATCTTTTCGACATTGGTTAACATTTAGAATTGGATGATTGTTTGATGGTTGATTCACCATCAATCATCGACCTTAACCAAAAGTCAACTTTTTTGGCCATAATTCAACATTGAATTAACATCTTTTGCTATCTGGGTTCCTTCTAAAGTGAAGTGGAAAATCTCCAAAGAAACAAGCCAACAAATACAACTAATTCTGTCTATTGTTAGTTTCTGCCATCTGACTGCCAGAGGCTTTAAAAAGAGATACAATAAAAACAGAATAACTTATGTAAATGTAAAGATAAATTAAATGGATATAATATGTGCTTTTGTCATTTGTCACAGTTTTTATCACCGATTGTCAACTGAAACTTGAACATATCAAAGAGTCTATCAGTTCAGATTTGTTGGAAAAAGTTGCAGCCTTGCTCTTTCCTCTTGGTCTCAAGAATACTCAGGAACAAACAAAGGCCATTACTTACCTGTTGAGAATGTACCAGACTCCTGTTAGCATACCAGCAAGCCATGATCCAGACAGGAGCCATGCAGTGAGGTACAGAGCGATCACATATACGGCTTGGAGCGAAAACACTGTGTAAATGTAGAAATACACTGGTTCCAGATACAACTGGACCCAACACACACACACACACAGAACAAAACGTGGATGGTTAAAAGCAGTATTAGCAAAGCAAAAACGATTTGATACAAAAAAAATACATTTTTTTTATTTTTCTTTGTAGCAGCAGCTGCAAACATTTAAGGTTTCAACAGTTTCTATTTAAAATTTTCAAAAATGTCTAGGCTTATAC